TTTCACGTCACTGTTTGGAATGTTCTTCTAACGTGAACTGCTCCAGAGATCCTGCTTGGGCAGTCGATCCCCTGGATCGTTTGCTGAATTCCAGACAGTAGGACGGATGGGTTACCCAGTCCAATTGTGAAATTTTCGAGCTCCCGGTGTGCCTTCGTAGCTCAGCTGGTACAGCGCTGCTCGCTTTGAGACATGCTGTTTCTGTCACTGGTTCGAATCCAGTTAAAGCAGTGACTTTTCACGGTTGGGTCTGATCTAAATCATTAAATCTTCCAAACTACTCATAAGTAATATAATTAAGTTCCGATGTCCGCATCGCGCCCAAAAATTTACATCCAGTTATTTTGAAATAAGTTTCATGCTCTACTGAGAACCTAGCATTGTTTATATTTGTAAGATTTGCGGTAGAGTAAAGTAGGGATTTAACTCTCGAAATAACGCCCTCATTTTGAGTCTCTGTCCACCTGATTAAGTTCACACAAGGCTAATCAGGATGCAAGGTTTCTTTGACAGTGAATACTAAAAATCTGTGAATGCATACCATGTCCACAAACTGGGTCATCTGTGATAGACATATTGGGTTCACCTTCAACGTCGGCTGACGCCTTTAACGAGTCCTCGTTCTAGATACTCACACAGGAATACATCTTACTTGAGAAAACCAGCCTATCGAAAGTCACAGCTTCTGTGTTCTTGTGTGTATTCAAAATGAATAAATAGGATTAAACAGGCTTATATTTTCATAACAAACAGTTCGATCACTCTAAACATTTAGGTAACACAGATTGTTATAGGTAAGTGTACCTCGATAGGTGTGAAACGAAAACAATTTATTGGTCACGACATAACACAGAAACGATAAGATTAGCTGAGTAAAAGACTATCAATAGGGAACTATTAACAGTAATACATGAACGTCTAGAGTTGGTCTCTTGGTTTATTGTATGAAAATAAATGTTGAGAACTAGAAGGTATAAAGCGGAATCACAGGGATTCTAGAAAGTAATTTTATTTTTCTACTAGAAATACATGGCTATCTGTCTCTAGTTCTATGACAAGGTTAGTTTGACAATTACTCTCTTTCATACACAAAGAGTAAATTATTATAGCGGTGCATAGCAACTGATTCAAGCATCCGTAGGTAGATTCCGTCGATTGAATGCCCATAAACGACGTCGCCAGCACACTTAATATGTCCAAGTTCTTTAAGACACTATATTGTAACGCGACGATCAGTAACAAGTGTTTGATTAAGAACCATTTTGGATTGTAGTCTGACCTATATGGTTTACCCATCAGTCATTATTTATGAGCTTGAGAAGTGAATTTGAAAATGATGTTGCAACCACTGAACAAATGATTTGAATCTCTTCCTAATATGCTGAGATCTGATGACATACAGTTGAAGTGATTTAAATTAAATGCTTTATATTGAGATGGTGTGAGACATTCAGATCGAATGAATGTGGGAGAACTTTTACCTTTTTAAAACAGTACCAAGCTGTATGATCCTTGACAATATAAACCACTTGTTTTCGGAATTGGGTTGCAAAATCGGAGTGTACTGTTAAACAGAGGAAAGACTCGTCTTTACTGTTTAGTGCCTAGCCGATATACGCGTTTCACGTATCACTTTAGTATAGTGACGTGTACGAACGAATTAGATGTAAAATCTCATAGTTCCGTAACATACTGTAGGTAAATTTTCGTAGAACTTTAGGTGGTTTCTAGGAGTGCACATGTAAATGAAGCAATTTCTCAAACTACTGCATATACTGAAACCGTTTACGCTTTATATAAACTGTTTGGATCGTGCTACAACGGAAATAGATTGAAATACAAAACAGTACATGAAGAATGCCTAATTTTAATACGCCCAGCCCGACGATCAAATGAGAGTTGAGAGGACCTGCAACGGTTTCATCCAAACACTGCTGGAATCTAGCCAGAAATGTTAATGATTATGAGATACTTATTCAGAATGCAGCAAAAGATGTGAGTATCAAAAGAAGTATCAAAAGGAAAATATACAATATCTCACTTTGTTTTAATTCACTTTTGCTGAAATATTCCCAAAAATAGATTTAATTCCGTCTATCTTTAAATTCCTCTATTACGTAGTCAGTGTTCACAACCGTCCATTTAAGAAATTCAAATCACTTCGCATTCAAATTCTTCCATCTTGAGTCTTATAAATGTTCGTTTTCAGTGTTAATCAGATGTTAAATATCTCCATGTAGGACACATGATCACCTGATCACCGGACAGACCAATCTGATTGTTTCAACCAAAGCCAAAAATCTGATTGGACGAACATAACAAGACTGTCTATGTAAAGGAAAAAAAATATTTTGCTCACAGAAATATGATAATTAACCAGAAAAGTTGCAAAATTCCAATGCAATGGATGAATAAATAAACTTAGCTAATTCCGTATTAAACTGGGGAAAACTGTTTGAAAATAAGGTCTGTTAATATTGAACACGAGGATGAAGGCTTTTAAAGTTACGAAGGTGTAATGTTTTGTGTTTAACTGCACATGATTGGAAAAGTTTGCTGAAAGTGAGGTCAGAAATGACTTCTAACAACAACACCAACAACAACGGCAAAACATGAAATTGGTACTTCTTTCTTATCCGGATTTGTTGACTAGTCTATCTGAACGAGAAAGCTGAGATCAAATGTGTGGGGCTGTTTGGGCAACGATTCGATTATTAGAAACGGAGTGCAAAATACACAAACAAGCTGGTGTAATACTATAATTAATTTATATGTATGAAAAATGTTTTAAACAAATCGACATTTTTTAAATTTTATATTACGATTTAACAGCTTACGTGCTTATTTAAATAATTAAGTGTTATCCGATGTGAATAAAACCAATGAACAACTTGATTCGAAGGTCATAGCTTAAACACCTTTTCCACTAGTATGTATCGCGGCATGCGTGCTGACATCCGTGAATGTAAAGCGTGATATTCTAGGCGTATAAGGAAAAAGCAAAATGTTCTGGGACAAATTTCACATGTCACCCCATGAGTTGCTTACTAAAATATGACTCACTTTTAACCAGAACCAGCCGAGATCAAATAGGAGCCATTCTTCTTCGCTGCGAATCTCCTGATAAATTGAAAATTTCCCTTATATTTTACGCACTGGATGATGTCGGCTGTACACAATCCTGTCGCACAACGAATCGTCTTCCCTTCCGACGGTTAGCGCATTTCAAGCACAATGCAATGATTTGATGTTAGAATTGTCATTCTAAGGAGTCATTGCATTCAGATAAGTCCTTCTAGTAGCCCACTTTGAAAGGAAGTAGTAGACTTGAGTTTCGCTGTTGTTATGGCTCAACAGTGGTAAATATTTGTCTAGATCGGGATTTGAAACCTAACTCTCGTGCTTATGAAATTAGCGTTTTAATCGCATTGCCAGTAACATCACAATAGTCGCGGTCGATCAGTCTTTTACAAACGTTTGACCATAAACTTCTGTGAACAATGTTCAAATTGCAGGATCATTCGGAGAAGAAAGAACGATTTGAGATAGTCTAAATCCCCGAGGTTCAATCGGGAATTTCAAAAGTTGAAACATTGTACTCCCTTTAACCCCTTCATCAGTGCGAAAAGAACAAAATGTGATATACTGACTTTTGTTTGCTCTCATTAAACGCACACGCAAACATATAGATTATTTACGACAGACAATTAGAGATAAACAGGGTACGGACACGCATATATTTACACCAAGTATTATGTCATCAACACTGCGGTAATCCGATGAGTTGCTTCAACCACTTTTGTGTACATAGTGACGCCTAGTGACTTCTGATCAACATAGCTTCGCCAAAGGCCATTAGCTTCTGGTTCTGGTTGCGTAACAATATTTTGAACGATCTAATTCGGTCAACTTGGTAACTTGTGATCACGAGGTGTTTGGCAATCGATGATGCGGAAATTCGAGCAACGAATTCATTGGTTTGAGTTTTTATCATCAGTTGTTGCAATCAGTTTGGTTCTCGATATGTTCTTCCTAATGTAAACGTCACTGCAGCTGCAAACGTACCGGTAAATGAAGTGTCAATAAATAGCATTTTCTACTGAAGAAATTTTAAAAATGCTGACTTTATGACGGTCGGATCTCTGACTACATTAGTCACGCCCAACCATTTCTGTCGCTACCTTTCACCTACATGCCATTTATCTGCGGACAGGTTATAACTGTACTCTGAAAGCGCTGTAGTGTAGCACAAAATGTGCAGGCAAACTGACATGCCACTCTTGCTACTAATATCCTCGGACGGTTGTGGTAGATAAACACATGTCAATGTCCATAAGTAGCGAAATTTACCAAATTACTCTCGGACTCCAATCGCACACAGACAAACTGGTCTCGCCTCATCATGAGGCATAATTTTGTTTGTGCACGCCGGTTGGGTGTTAACTGCCTACATATCGATCGAGTGAGTCAGCTAATGGCTAAGACAGTTGAAGCGATTAAACAAAGTTTTCTGTCCACACAAGGTTGGATTACGTAATCGAATGGCAGTGGCCTTAGCAGTGGCCAACATTTTCTGACGAACGAGTTCTGACTTGTTCGGTGGAACCCTGTATATAACAGTGAACGATCGATCTATGTTGATCTGATGGTCGCTGTCACCCAAGTGACCTACAATGTCACTCACGATTGTGTTCTAACTGATACCCTATTGTATTATTAATAAGTAGTGTGACAGATTTATGATTTTAGATGAGACCCAATTGTGAAAAGTCAAGGCTTCGGCTGGATTCGAACCAGCGACAGAAATACCATGCCTCAACGCGGCAAGCGCTCTACCAGCTGAGCTACGAAGCCACGCCAGGAGCTCGGAAATTTCTTATTTGGACTCGGTTACCCACCCGTCCCACTGTGCCATATGGAATCCAGCAAACGACCCAGGGGATTGACTGTCCATGCAGGATTTCTCGAACAATTCACGCTGGAATCCGAGCTCCTGGCGTGGCTTCGTAGCTCAGCCGGTAGAGCGCTTGCTGCGTTGAGGTGTGGTATATCTGCCGCTGGTTCGAATCCAGCCGAAGCCCTGACTTTTTACAATTGGGTCTCATCTGAAACCTTATTGATTATTTTCAATATCCATACAAAGTTAACCCGTAGTGGGACTCTTAATTGTGATCGCTTCAGCACCCACTAACAAATAACGATATTTCAGTACTTCATGTTTACTAAGCACCAGGCAAAGACAACAAACCACACAAACTATGATCGTGCATTTTTCTCTGTGGTTTGATAACTATTAGTAGATAAATAAAATATGTTTCAAAGAACGAACTTCTAACAGTTAGCAATCAACAGCTATTCGTCAGAGAAATGTATCCTAGTGTGAGAATGAATTCGAGGTTTTACAGAGATTGAAAACTTGGCTGAGAGTATAGTAATAGACTGTCTCCTCTTGAGGGTAAATAGTAATGTGAACAGAGAGGAAAATGTATCAAGTCCAAAGTAGAGTTGGTCAACATCTTACTTGGTCGATTGGATCTTTAGTTCTCAAAGTGAACCAAATCTGCATTCGTACACTTCTCAGAAGCCAAGATTTCTGTGATAATTGAACAAAAGTAAAACAACATAGAGTAAAACAATAAATTCTGTGTTTAAATTATCGAGATCACAAACATATTCTACGTGTATTTTATTCTGGCTAAACTAAAACATTGTTAACATGAGTACATTTCTCACGTTGACAGACATTTATTGATCGTTACAACCACTATGATCAAAGAAATTCTGAGGCATATAGACCTGATCATTTTTTTCACCTTCACTCTTGATAAATTGTGATTCTGCGTTTAACTGCATCACCTGCTTCAATTTTACCAGGTAGTTTTTGACAAGAAAAAAAACTAGAAGATGAATGCACAAAGATCAGTATCTCATTTGTACGGAAGAAAAGACCTACGCTGCTCTATGAATCCAATGCTCATTCTTCTGTAAGCTCAAAAGTTTTGAAAAGACTTTTTCAGTAACGCTGTCTGCTGATATATCATAATTTAACGATGAGAAAGAATGCGTCATTTAGATCAACCCCTTCAATCATTGTAACATGTTTCTCATCGATAAATTTTATTCTTCTGCCTTAGTTTCAGAATCTGTAAGGTGTTCTCGCAACTTTTGTACATGAGAAATGACTATGTATTTGAACGTTTAGGTACGTTAATTATGTTGAAAGATAACTCACATGCTGGTGACCACGACTGTCGCATGAATGTACATCCGGATATGACAAGCAGTATACACTACTAATTGTTTTCGACAAGAGCAGAACCCCTAACTTAATGCTACTTTTTCAGGTGTTGTGATCACACAGAACACTGGACTTGAGAAGCTGTTTATCTCTAAGCCTTCATAACAAAGTATGTGTGAATACACAACAATGAACGGAAACACTACTTCACACGGCTGACGTGTTGTTTCATCTGTTGGCAGTAGTGCATCGCTAGTCTGTATGTTGTCTAGTTCCGAGGAGTACACAAACACGTTTGTCATATTTGTTTCAACTTCCTGGCTTTTCCAGCGTCAATTACTTCTATTTAGTTTTCTTTCGTTCGACCCGGACTATACTACTCACAAGCAAAGCTGTAAACCGTACAACAAAAACGGATTAGTTGTCAACTTTGTGTGGTTGAAAACGTTCATTTTTGTGACATTCAAATAAATTCGCAAACACATTCCCTTGTCTCAGTTCTAAACTAGTACTTTCTCAACTGTTTATCAGATTCTCATATCAGACGTTTGATTAACACAGTTGCTGTCTTTTTTCAACGTCCACCGTTCTGCAACCTACTTTTTCATATGACACAACTAAAATATACACACTACTATCTTTCCCATGCTGGTGATTGAGTGTACTTTCTTTGTGCCGTATCACATTACAGATAGAATGTTGTGAAAGATGCGTTTTTTTATCAATAACACAAGGTATACTCGATGTGTATCAAGTTACATTCAAACTGTATGGCAGCTTCTGCATTCAGATACAGTTTACAGTTAGCCCCCTTCGAATGCGGACACTGAATTCAACGTAAACTCTTGTTAGGTCACATATGTTTGTATGTATCTTCAGCACAGCCGACGAATGAACTCAAGCCCACATATTTATTAGGCATCCATATTGACCATTGTGCCATCAACCTCACGGTAGACACATTCGATTAATCCTATCTAAAAGCTCTAACTCACTTGCTTGTGAACAGTGCTCAAGTTGATCGGGTACTCTGAAAACCGAAAACCCACCGGACCTCTTAGTTGCAGTCGATAATTTCACCAAAATGGCTACAATATCAATATGAAAAACAAGACTCATTCAACGTGCCAATCAACCTATTGATTACCTAAAACTAAACCATTTTACATATCTGTTTTCATTTTAGACACAAGATTTTCCATTTCATGTAAAAGCAAATCACTTCAGTGCATTAGAATTTCCACGTTAGAATCTTGGACGTGACGCGAAGGACGCGATTGGCCCAACTAACCGGAAAGGACAACCAATCTTAATTAGAGCACTTCAGATTGGCTGCTTTGATAGAGGAAGTGGTACGGGTTATGCAAGGGTTGTCAGCGGCTTTGCTTAATGAGATCGGGATTAACGGTCAAAGTGAAGCACAGATCATCCGACCCTGTCCGTACTAATTCACCAAACTGCAGACCGTATTGGTTCCTTTGACAGGTAAAGGGGTGAGAGTGGTTAGGAGTGTCTGTGGATCTCACGTCCAATAGAAGTGAGGTTTAGGGTCGTGGTAGATTTCGAGTTGTAATATGAGAGTGAACCAGTTTGTTAGAACATTTTCATTAGTTCTCTTGCACACATGGCTGACGGATGCAATTACACTCGGATCAGTCCCGAAAAACGCAGACGTATTATCGAAGCATTCGAAAGGGGCGATGACTGGCGTATGGTTGCCGCTGTCAACGGAGTCAAGTGCAATACCGCTTACAAGTGGGTTCATGTGGATTGCATCAGTTATGAAGCGCAGCCTCGCAAAGGACACAGAAGCAAGATTCTGACAGAATCTGAGATTGATATGTTGTTGGAATAGATTTCCATAGACCTGACGGTGACACTGCCATTTTCGAGATTGTGCTTCAAGGCTGAGTTCGAGAAGGAGTTATCGACCTCAACGATTAGTCGATACTTGGATGGCCAATGCATAACTGTCAAGAAACTTTACCAAGTGCACGTTGACATGAACTTAAATGAGAATTTGGAACTACGGTGACTGTTTGCATATCGACTGATGGAGTGTTATGCAAATTCAAAGACTATTTGCTGGATAGATGAGACACATTTCAATTTGTTCTGTACGAGGTCAGTGGAACGTTCATTGAAAGGAACGAGAGCATGCGTCTCTGTAACAAACAGTCGAGGCCGTAATCTACATTTTGATTGGAGCTATGACATCAAGCTCGATAGTAGGCTATACGACGAGGCGGGGAGCTTACAACAGCAACGATTGCAAGGGCTGGCTACGAACCCTGCTAGATCAGTTGAAGATCAGTACACCCATGTCAGACATTGTGCTAATATGCGACAACGAACCGTGCCACACTGGATCTGGAAAGTGTGTTTACTAAAGAGTTATATAATGGAGGACAACTTTTACGACTGGCACCCTATTCGCCCATGTTGAACCCAAATGAGAATGTCTGGAGCATGGTGAGAGCAAGAGTTAAAAGGCAACTGCGGGTGCACCACGAGACAATAATAAACGAAAATCCCCAGGATGTGCAAAGCCAACAGGAGTGGAGAATTGGGACACTGGAGAGAGTAGTCATCTCTGCTATGTGCGATATCACCGGGGACCACTGTGCTGGCTTTGTTGGTCATGCTGAACGATGCTGTATGCAGGCGATGAATGATAAAACGATGGGGTCATAACCGTAAACGCCCATCTTCTCAGTGGACGGAGAATGCTCTATTTAGGGCAACCACAAGTTGATTTTACACTTCCTACTTTTTGGAAGTTAGCCCTGATCAAACTAACGCATAGCCTATGAGTGTGCCTAGATTATGTAAGATTTTCGTTTGTTGTTTGGGCGGTTAAGAACAACTGAGCTATCCGCATACTTTACGCGTTGGAAATGTCCTTGCGACGGAAAACGCTAAAACAGTGTATCTCAGGTTTTAAAAGTAGCATGATTGATGGGCAAAATTCACGGGAAACACGACCAGTTGGTGGCTATTCGCTTTCATCCGTATTGTTCTACCAACTTCACTGAGTTTGTGATAAACGGAATGACCAACTCACAAATGAGCTATCAAATACAGAAATGTATTCATGTAGTTTTCCTCAAAGTATTACTCACGTGGATGGATCTGGTATACGTGCGACTAAATGCAACCACTGAGTTTTAGTAACCGCGATCTTGAAGGGATCTGAGATGTGGAAATGCAAATAACAACTCAGCCTTGAGGCGCAATCTCGAAAATGGCAGTGTCACCGTCAGGTCTATGGAAATCTATTCCAACAACATATCAATCTCAGATTCTGTCAGAATCTTGCTTCTGTGTCCTTTGCGAGGCTGCGCTTCATAACTGATGCAATCCACATGAACCCACTTGTAAGCGGTATTGCACTTGACTCCGTTGACAGCGGCAACCATACGCCAGTCATCGCCCCTTTCGAATGCTTCGATAATACGTCTGCGTGTTTCGGGACTGATCCGATTGTAATTGCGTCCGTTAGCCATGTATACAAGAGAACTAATGAAAATGTTCTCACAAACTGGTTCACTCTCATATTACAACTCGAAATCTACCACGACCCTAAACCTCACTTCTATTGGACGTGAGATCCACAGACACTCCTAACCACTCTCACCCCTTTACCTGTCAAAGGAACCAATACTGTTTACAGTTTGATGAATTAGTACGGACAGGGTCGGATGATCTGTGCTCCACTTTGACCGTTAATCCCGATCTCATTAAGCAAAGCCGCTGACAACCCTTGCATAACCCGTACCACTTCCTCTATCAAAGTAGCCAATCTGAAGTGCTCTAATTAAGATTGGTTGTCCTTTCCGGTTA